AATATTTTAAATTATCATGTTGATGATTTTGTCTGCAATGTTTAATTTAAATTTTCAATTTAATAAAAAAATTTCAGAAATCATCAAATATTATCGACGACTTTTCAATTCGTCGATAATTCTGTCTGTAATATTTAATTAAAATTTTTAATTTAATCTAAATTTTTCATAAAACCGCAAAATATATTCCAACTACTTTTCAATTTGTTGGTGATTTTATCTGTAAATAACAATAATTAATGATGCAACCGGAAAGTGAATAGTTTCAGAGCTCTCAGAAAAATACTAACAGAATTTTTGTCAGTGATTCTTTCTGTAACTGATATGATGAATAGCATTCACAGTTTCTCAACGGTTTTACCGACGGTAATTCTATTGGCAAAGTCATCATGTTATTATTTTTTTGCTTTATTTTAATTATTTTGTTTTTTATTGTAATTCTCTCACTACATAATAAATAAATATTTTCATTGATAAAATCCGTTAATAGATTTATGATAAAAATATATTTTTAATATTTATGTTTATATTTATTAATTTTTTGATAATGAATATTCATGCCAACGGATTATTGAAAATTTAAATTACTAAAAGTTGTTTTCGCGTTCCATGCTGTGGGACATAGGCAGATCCATTTGCGGTAGTTAATGGATCTGTGCATGATTTTCTGTGTAATTTGCCATGATTTATAAAATAAAGATCATTCCCACTTGATAAAAAATATCAATACAGGATAAAAATTACATAACGTTCTACTTATATATATATATTTCTTAAATATTTTTAAAGTTTGATTTTTTTATTCACCTTATACTGGTTTGGCAAAGTTAAAAGTGTTAAGGGTATGAAAAGATATTAAGCAATGAAATGTTTATATTGTTTAGGTGAGGGTAGGGAAATTTAGAGATAAAATGTGGATCCTGATATAAATCACTAATATTTAAGGAGCATTTGTTTTGTATAAATTTTTATCAATAAAAGATATCTTGCAATATAAAAAAGGGTCTTGCGATTATGATGTTGCAAAGGAGATAACAGTAATGATCATATAAGTGAGAGTGTGGAGGTGGTAACGGGCAGCAAGAATATCGCAAGCCTTATATTTCGTGTTTAAGAGACTTGATTAACTTTTTTTATTTTGGTATTTATTTTTTGTGTTTTAAAATTATTTTTAAAAAAATTTATTTTTAATTTTAAATTAATATTTTTTAGTATTTTAATATGTTAATGTTAAATTTAAAATATAAAAAATAAGTCTACTACTCTCTAACACCTCTTCGTTTTTTTAAGAACACAATTTAAAAATCAAAAGGATAAAAAGGAAGGGGTATTTGGGTCTTCTCAAACACAATAATTTAAAAAGTTGTGCAATTTACTGCTATCTTAAAATTTAATATGATTGTTTGTAATATAATATCAAAATATTAAAAATAATATTAAAAAAATATTATTAACATATCAAAATAATTTTAAAATACTAAAAAATAATTTAAAATGGTGTTTTTTTTAAAAAATAGTTAAACTGCGATACCAAACAATAAATGAACATTATTAGATCTTGAAACAGGAGCATACTTATCAACCTAATACAATATCTAATCCGATGTAGGCTTAGAATGATTAGAATGACGCGAAGATCACTAGAATAATTTAATAGACTAGTTATTTGAAAAGATCATATATGTATATATATATAAACATTAAGATTTTACATTGTGGTTGTATTACATATTACTATGGATTGGGTAGTGTCATTTTTTTCTTTTTTATTTTATTCGTTATTTTTTTCATTTTTAATTTGATCTTTCTTATGCATAATTTGTTGCTATTTACTTTTAATTTGTTAATGAATGATATAATTCAAAGACAGGGATCATAATAAAAAATATAAAGAAATTAGATGGGGCATGAAAAATATTAATTTTGGTGTCAATATGTTATATTTGGTCAAAAAAGTTATAATAAAATATTATTTGGCATTGACCTTGCTTATAAAAGAAAATTTGAGCTCATCTTTTTTTTTTTAATTTTGGATTTTTATTTATTTTAAAACAATTTTAGGGTTATTTAAGATGTTTTTGATAAGAAAAATACTTTTAAAATTATATTTTAATTGAAATATCATAATTCTAACTTTTCAGTGACTTTTTAATCATCAAATTTAATGTTGGAATTTAATTTTATCTATCTTATTTAATAAAATTAAAAGGCAAATAACACAATATACCAAAAAAAAACTTTGCCCGCAAAGATAACTATTTTTTCAAGTCCATTGGGCAATGCCAGCCAAGCCCAAGTGTTTGTTCATTATTTGATGGGTCTATTATTTTTGTTCATTTATTTTTTTAATTTATTTTTTTAGTATAAATAATTATATAAAATTATACTAATTTTATAATTTAGATTGTGAATTTAATAATTTAATATAAGTTAATTTTATTTATTTATTTTTAGATTGATGTTTTCTTAGTTCACCTCTCAGTATTAGGTTGATTGATAATTGGATTTTATAACTTATTTTATTTTTATTTTTGTGAGGTTATCTTATTTTTATGACCTGAGACACGAGTTTAGTAGGTTAATTCAAGTAATTTTTTTTAGATTTGTTTTTATATTTTTTTGAATTTTATTATTTAACTCATGTTGATTTAAAATCATGCTTTATAATTTGTTTTAATTTATTTTTTATAAAATCATCATAATTTTATAATTCAGGTGATGAATCTTCATCATTATTCCAAATTAATTAAGTTAATTTAAAATGTTGTCTCGTGGTTTTAAAAAACTATCACCTTAAGTATTTCATAATTAAACTATCTTTTTACTATATCTCTGAATTATTTCTGGACTTAAAAAATCAACAGGGACACTTTAAATTAACTCCCACGCAATTTAAAATTTGTTTTCATATTAAAAAACATGCTAGTAGTGCCCGACATCTTGTTCCTTCAAAAAAAAGACTTACCCGGGGTCAATAATATAAATAATTTGGCTTTTATTTTATTTTTTCAAGGTTAACCTTTTGGTTATGCCAAATCTTAAGCGGATCTCACATGATTAATCAATTTTAATCGAGTCAATTAAGTTACACTGATTAATGTCCCAAGTAGTTAATCACAAACTCAATCCGAGTTAGATTTGAAGTAACTGGCTTGATTAATGTCCCAAGTAGTTAATCTGGTTTGATAAATGATAATTATGAACAGTCACTTCAAGCTGGCCCTTTCAGGTGGGACGTGCGTGAGGCCATATTTCCCGTGACCTCATCAAGTCATAATAAAATGCAGTCCTTTCATGGATCCGAAGACCATGACTTTATCTGCAACATCCGTGAAGAAATTGGAACGAGACAGTAAATCCTCTGAAGTCTGGGCAACGGTCTCCAGCTCCTCTTCCCCAATGACAATCCTAATTAATGTGCCCAGATTTAGGGTTCCGGATCCACGCGAGCTGTACATGTTCACGAACGTTTTGATCCCATGTATATTGAAATATGGCCATGCAATTAAACGGCAGAGAATATGCGTGGATCCACACACACACACACACACCCCCTCCCCAACCCTAGATCCACACACACACACACCCCCTCCCCAACCCTCCCTTCGCAACTAACAGTTGATTTTTTGGTTGTGTCCGTGTCAAGCTTGGATAAATAATATTGGATTGTCGGTCTACACGAATTCTAAACTCCCCGTCCTCTTTTTTTTTTTTTAAATAATAATAATTGTTTTTTAAATTTTTTTGTTTAAAAACATATGAAAATAATAATTTTTATTTTTTAAAAATTATTTTTAACATCAAAATGATTAAAAAATAAAAAATAATTCAAAAAATCACAAAACATTATTTCAAACATAAAAACAAACAGGACTGAATGATGCAATTCACCCCAGCTTAACCTGTCTTTTTTTCCCCTCGCAAACCCAAATCATTAAGTGTGGTCATAAGAAAAATCAAGTGTATTTAATTTCAAGCTACCGTTTTAACGCAATGCAACGAGATGTCTCAAAATGGTCCTGCCACGTAATAGAAGAGTATTAAATAATTTAAGTATTAAATTATCTCCGTCAACTTCACTAGCGGTCGACACCCAGTTATTCAGATGAATATATATTTGAGTCAAATTGAAAATATACAATCTCAAGTTCTTCTTTTTATCGTAATTATCTATTTCTTTTATCAGTCTCGCAATCAATTAAAAAAAATGTTTAGAAACATGATAATACTTATTTTTTAAAATATTTTTTATTTAAAAATATATTAATACATTATTTTTTTATTTGTAAAAATTTATTTTTAACACAACACATCAAAATAATTTAAAAATAATTTTAAATAAAGAAATAAATTTTAGCTAATATCGGTTTGAGGAGCAATATAGTTTGTACCCCCATGAATTCGTGACTAATTAATTTGACGAGAAAGATAAAAGTCGATTTCCAGAAAAAGTGGCCCCCTTTGTTCTTTGACAAATTATATTCGCATTAAAAGGGTTCTTCATGTTTCTCTTGCTTCGCATTAAAACCCTTTTCTTCTAACCCCATCTTCCTTTCCTTCCTTTCTCATTTCTCTCCAAGCGATCTCTCCAACAATCGCTATCTCCCTTCCCCTCTATCTCTCTCAACCATGAAGAACCTTTTTTCTTCATCCACCACCTTGTCTAGTCACGGCCTCCTAATCTTGGCTCTGCTCCTCCTCTTCTTCTTCACATCATCAACCGCCACTGGAGTCCCTACCTCTGCTTCACTTGAGACATCTTCAAGAAACCAGCACCACCGCTTCAAGAGTCAACACCATTCTTGTGGTTCTTTCCCTCGTAAAAGCTCCTCACGTTCTTGGTGCATTCGGTTTCAAAGAATAAACGGGCGGCGACATCTAGGGTCACCACTTCCACCACCACTACCACCACCTATTGAGATTGATCCAAGATATGGTGTTGAGAAGAGGCTAGTACCTTCTGGGCCTAATCCTCTGCATAATTGATCAGGGTTCTTGATTTGATCACCGTACCTATATATAATTTAACCAGTAATGTGAATAGACTCAATACCATCTTTCATCTCTTCAGTATTATAGCACTAGCTATACTAAATATGGCCAAGTTCTTTCTATATTTTTTTGCTAAGATTTTCTTCTTTCTGGAATTATATATGATCGCTCTTTGCATTTCCTCTCTGGTCTTTCTTGGTCTCTACTTCATGACCTTCTCATGCCTGCCTAAATTATTTCTTGAGCATCTGGTCTACTGATCGAATTCTTGAAAGGAGAGTTATGTATTAATTAATGGATATGCAGTACTGACTATCATGCATGCAGAAAAGGATCAGCTGTGCTTGTGTTTGATTACTAGATTGTGTTATTAGAAGATGCATAGCTTGTAATGTGGGAGAGGGTTGAAAAGTTAGGGGGCAGTTAAACAAGCATGGAAATGGTCTTCATTTCATGACAAGTTCAGCTGTGGATGAATCCTGGTGGAGGTGGACTTCAAAAGAAACCGAGTTGCGTTAATTTGGAGCTGTATAAGCAAAAGTCAATCAAAGAATGGAGGCTGGGGGCAGATTTGTCTCCCCATGTGGGTCCGCAACCACAATCCTGACGTCGAGGGTATATAGTTCAGTAGATTAATCTAAGTTTCGCTGTGATCATTTTGTTTATACTGTTGCTTCTCTTCTCTCAGCTTTGTCATTGATGCATTCATAGTCAGCATCTCGCTTGTTTTTGGATGAATACACCAATCACTGTGGAGCTAGCTAGCTCGTTGGCACTCTAACTGGGCAATGCACCTCTGCCTGTTATGTTATACGTACACAGATAGTGTAGAAATTGGTAGTGGACGTTTGCTTTGATTTATGCAATAACCTTGCCCAGTGTGGTTTCACATCACGAGAATGAAGAAATGCCGGAGCATTTCTCAATTTTCCTTCTAGACACGATCAAAATGGAACCGTCCAAAAATGGCTGGACAAATCCATTTTTGGTCTGCTTTGACAGCATTATAACTAGTATTTTTATTGCTAACCAAGGTAATTTTACCTTCGGGTCTTCCCTTTTTGTGCATGTGCTCCAAGAGAAATCTGCAGAAAATGGACAAGTGCGCCAGTAACATTTCTTAATTCAGATAATCCTGAAATAACTTGTTCTGAAAAAATCTTCAATTTTTAAACGGGAAAGCCATAAACCTTAATGATCAGATAGATCACAGTCATCCTTTTGTTTAAATAAACACAATAATTAATCACTGTTTTTTCAATTAATTTACACCGATTGATCTTTAGCTGACATGTGAACAGTTTTGGTTAAATTTAATATTTGATTTGAATGGGAGTAGATGGAAGATTCAAATTGAATTAGAAAAAGAAAAATCATGAAATACAAGGGTCATATTAACAAATTAAATTGATGAATGGCTGGATTAACAATATTAAATAGTGAAAGGACCAAGCATGCATTTAATATTGATAAATGGATAGCTTAACTATGTGAGTGGTTGAGATTAAGTTAATTAAAATTAAAAAAAAAGGGCGAAGAGATAAAATAGAATATGGGAATTTGAGAGATAATAATAAAAAATAAGAAAATAAAGAAAGGCCAAGGTTACTAATGTTTTTAATTAGGCCAGAAAGAATTTGTAGTTTGTAGTTCAGTTTGGAAAAGAATTTTAATGACATTCTATTTGCATATACATGCAGCATATACAGTAATTGTTTTTTTAATGCAGAAGTAACTGAGCATAATTTAAAAATATATAAAAAAAATTAAACAAAAAAAATAAATCAACTAAACTTTGTTTGGAACGAAATTCCAAACTGCCTCCAGAATCCATCACGTAAAAAAAATCAAACTCCGAGAAATCTTACTGATGGATTTCGTCTTTCACAGGGTCAATTGAGTTACATCATGTGTTCTTAGAGATCATTGTACAGTTAAATCATTTAAAATAGACGCCGATAAAATTAACTAAATATAAATGCTTTTAAAGTGTAACGAGATCAAGGCATTTACATATGCTATTAGAAGTCGTGCTCTGGGGACAATTGTAAATGCCATCACATCCCAACTACAAATGCCATCAAACAAGCTATTTTTATAACAATTGTTTTGTTTTGTTATATTCACCTGTATTATGTATGTCGGTGAAAACTTTTTTCAATCTAATATTTTTATTTAATTATATAATAATAAAATATAAAAAATATCTTTTCATTATAATACTCTTTTCTAATTCATCTGCTTTTTTTTTTGTTTCGACAATAAAATTTTATTTCATTTGCGGTGCACTTTATTAAATAAAAAGCAACTTTAATAATTTGAGCTAAAAAAATTAATTAAAAACTATTATGATCTCTAAAAATTTAATTTTAAATTTTTTTCACTTAAAAATACTAAAAACGATCTCAATAGATCTATTTCAAATATTAAAAAAAAAACATGTAATCATTCTAAAAAACTAGAATTCTAACTAAATAAAAAATAACTTCACCAATCTGAATTTATTTTTTAAAATATATATGAGGAAAAAAATTATTTTCATTAAATTTATTTCTACTTGATGAATATATTTATATAAAGATTGATCCTTTTAGCTGCTAAAATACGGCTGTTTGAGCACCTTTTTTCTTTCTTTTTTTATTCAATGAATTTTCTTTTAAATTTTAATAACTGAAAAGCAAATAAAAAAAAGTTTTAAAAACTGATGACATGTGAAACTCTCAGAATATAAAAAAAAAATTGAAAATTTTAGTTAACAAACTATAGTTTTCAATGCCCAATTGGAAAGAAAAGAAAAGAGGTCTATGTTTTTTAAATGTTCAGTTCGATTGATGTGGCTTAAAACAAATATTAACAAGTTTCACAAATCACAAATTAATTAAGTGTTTACGAGGTGTAAGTAAAAAGTCTGAAAAAGAGGGATTCACGGCTGTGATAATATATAAATGTTTTTAAAAGTGTTTTTTATTTAGAAATAAATTAAAATAATATATATTTTTTAATGTTTTAAAAAATTAATTTTAATATAGCATATATAAATTTAAAAATATATATAAAAATATTTTTTAAATTTGACTGAAATACTGTTTGAAATACAGTTCAAAACAACTTATTTCAAAATAATAAATACTTTTTTAAAATGTTTTTTTGGAAATATATTAAAATAATATATTTTTTATTTTTTAAAATGTATTCTTGACATGAATATATTTAAATAGTATTAAAAAATTAAAATAATAAAAATTAAATTTTGATTAAAAAAACAAGTTGCGGGGTCTTAATAATATCGTAATAGGTCAAACTTCTGGGAATGTATTTTACATTTTAACCTAAATCGAAAAAAAAAAGTGGCAGGCATTCCATTCGACGTTTTCTGAAGCTGAGTGAAGAAGAGCCAAACACCGAGTCCGAGTCCCGTTAGTGATGGACTTATTAATAATTAATAATTTACAATAATAAAATAACAGTAACAGTAACAGTAACAGTAACAGTTCCGAGTAAATAGAGTAATACTTAATAGATCTTTGTTCTATCTTCTCTTCCATTTATTCTCACATAATTTATAGTGATCACACTCGCCCGATCTTTTCTTCCTAAATATGGCGCGTCCATCATTCTCCTTCTCTCTCATCCTTATTTTCCCTCTTCTCTTCCATCTCGCTCTCTCCAAAACCCTTAAACGCGACGGTGTTTCTTCAGATCCCTCTTTTCAACTCTCTCTTTAAACCAAATTATCTCTTCAGATTGATGATTTTTTAGTTTGTATTTGTTTTTGCAGTGAAAGCTTTGAATGAAATAAAGGCATCGCTAGGTTGGAGAGTGGTGTATGCTTGGGTCGGCGACGATCCTTGTGGCGACGGTGACCATCCGCCGTGGTCCGGCGTCACTTGCTCAATCGCAGGAGATTATAGAGTCGTCACTGAATTGTAATTACTGATAGTTTGATTATTTTTTATCTCAATTTGGTAAATATAGAAATAGGGTTTTGAGAAATATTGAAAATTCGAGGTTTTTTATTCCTTTATTACTGGTTGCAGGGAAGTGTACGCAGTGTCCATCGTGGGGCCATTTCCTACTGCTGTAACCAATTTGCTGGATCTTACCAGACTGTAAGATTTGGATTTAATTTTTTTCAATTTTGTTGATCTATTGCAGCAGCTTCTGTTTTTAAATTTATGGACTACAAGTACAAGCGTTGCTAATTTAATGAAGGCAGGGCGGTTCTTTAGTTGATAGAGTTCATGTATTGGAAGTGTTTGTGATTTTTCTATACGGGGTTTTTCTATACATTCAGGGATCTGCATAATAACAAGCTCACAGGGCCTATTCCTCCGCAAATTGGGCGATTGAAGCGTCTTAAGATACTGTAATAGCCCTTTTCTTTTGCTTATTTTAAGTTTTTACTCTGTGCTGAATTTTTAAGCTTTGAGTTAATTTGGGCTAGTTGTTGCAAAGTGTGATTCATTATGTTGGTGTTCTGTTGTTTTTGGGTCAGTAATTTGAGGTGGAATAAACTACAGGATGTTATTCCTCCTGAAATAGGTGAACTGAAGAGTTTGACTCATCTGTGAGTGATCTAATTTTCTCCAATATATAATATGATGTCGTTAGGGATTCTTTCATCCGAAAAGTCATTTCATGTATCCTTTTGCAGTTATCTGAGCTTCAATGCTTTCAAAGGAGAAATCCCTAGGGAGCTTGCAAATCTGCCTGAGCTTCGGTATCTTTATCTACATGAGAATCGTTTTTCTGGGCGAATTCCTGCAGAATTGGGGACGCTGAAAAATCTTCGTCACTTGTAAGAGGCCATCCCCTTCTCACCATGTCCTTGTTGTATGTTAAATGGTAGAACTATATTTTTGGAAATCCAATTCTAATACCTTGTGTGTAGGGATGTTGGCAACAATCATTTGGTGGGTACGATCAGGGAACTAATACGTTCTGATGGTTGCTTCCCTGCACTTCGCAACCTGTAAGTTTATGTGATTCTGTAAGTTCACATTTGCTCTTTTATTTTTTGGTGAAGCTTTTGTAAGTAATTCTATTGTTGACCTTGATATGTAGTTATTTAAATGATAATTATCTAACTGGTGGAGTCCCCGCACAACTTGCAAACCTAACCAGTTTGGAAATCTTGTAAGTTTCTCTTCATTTTTGTTCTTTCTTTCTAAAGGCAGATAGATTTTCATTGCTGTGCCCTGATTATAATTGGTTGCTTTATTGGTTTCAGGCACCTATCACACAATAAAATGACTGGAATAATACCTGTTGGACTCGCTCATATGCCTAGATTGACTTACTTGTAAGTTTCTTCTTCAAAATATTACTGCTACATTTCTCTAGTGTTGGTATTGATTTCATTAGTTCAAGTTATAATCAGCCTTTTGTCAAAAGCACCGCATGGCATGATGGATTCAATTGCAAAAATATATCATCTTGGATTGCTCTGCGGCGAGAAAAAAAAAAAGGCTCGCATTCCAGCTTTAACCAGCATTTCCATCAAGAAAAAATGCCTAAGAATGTGCTTTATCAGGATGTAGATCTCTTATATTTTACATCCATAAATTGTTCAATCATTCTCTAGCAAACAATTGAATATTGACTGTCTTGCCACAAATCTTTTGACATACTCACAAATGGCATCAAGGTTGAGGTATTTTTGTCTCACAAAAAACTGTTCCCAACATGGGTGTGCACTGCGCTCCCAAAAATCTTGATTTTTGTTTAAATGAATTTCTTTTTATGTTTTCATATCGTTATGATGTGTTGATGTTAAAAATAATTTTGAAAAAATAAAAAATTAATTTGATGCATTTCTAAGTGAAAAATACTTTAAACTGCTACCGCTATCACAATTCTAAACAGGCTTTGAAATTTGAAAATGCTCAAGCTCCTTCATCTGAAGTGACTTTGGTCATCATGCTGGTCCCCTTTGGGCATCCATATGTAGCCTATTCTCCAAGAATTTCTGTTCTGTTTCAACGTCATTAAACCTAATGCATCTTTTTGCTGGCATGTGTCTAACCCCCCCAGTTTAA